CAGTTGTAATTGTTACGAAGTCAATATTCCTAATTTTAGATACAGAAATGATACATGCATACAAATTAGATAAACATATTCAGTAAATCATAACCTTTCCAATGATATCTCACATGACCTTACATAAAACATATCTTAGTTATGCCATATTCATATCGTAACACTATTTCTATGAAGAATATAGAGTGTAACGTCACACTAGCTATACTGTGAAGCAGCTGCCGTTCCTGAGATAACCCTAAAGGACAGGGAGACAAACTCTAGGGAATGAGTGAGGTGCTCTCAGTCTGCCTTACTACCATGATTATCCAGGTGCTGTCATTACAGAACATTGTGCTTGTTCTGCTGTTTGAGAGGTGGCCTGGTTTACATGAAGATGATGTAGCAGTGGTGGTTGCTGAGGGATAGCTGGTGATTTGTAAATAATTAGTGCGGTAATGCCTACTAGCAGAATGATGGCCCAGGGGTTAGGGTGGAAGGACCTAGCTTCAGTTCTCTGATGTCTGAGTAATGGTGGGCAAGTCTCTCCGTGCCTCTGTTCCCCATCTGCAGAATGGGGATCTTAGCAATTCCCTATGTCACAGATGTGTTGTGTGGACACATTATTAAAGACTGTGAGGTGTTTAGGTCCTAGGGTGATCAGGGCCATTTCAGTGCCTTAGATGGTAGTATACACTACTAAATAGTTGGTAGAATGCTGAGGCCTAGAGGTAAAAATAATAGCTGTAGAGGGTAAATATGCCTTCCACTTCCAAGAGGTGGCAGAAGATCCATACCTGGAATCATTTGAAAGTAGGCTCGACAAAGCACAAAAGGATAAACTAAAGGGAGCATGACTACATTGGCATGGTGGTAGGCTATGCGATCGAACAGGTTTTTGCCATCTCAAATTTCGGTGAGTCCCCTGGGTTTTAATAGTGCCAAGCTACTGTCCAGACCACTGACTCCATAAAGGGAAAAGGTTTTCAAAAATGCAGAGTTGGCCTAACTCTGCTCCTATTGAAGTCAATCGCAAAGCACCTACTGACCTCAATGGGAGCAGAGTTAGGCCCATGCTAAGTGCTTCTATAAATCCCAGTGTCCCTTGAGAAAGAGAGGCTTTAAGTTCAAGAGGACAGCGAGTAATGAAGAGCATTCAAATGCTGCAAGAACACTAAATTCTGACTTCTTTATGGCTGGGGTCTCTTTTTTTAAACAAGGAACATAAATTAGCAGCAAGATGACCAGGCAAATGAGGAAAATAAGAAAAGTGCAATAGCCGTTCAAGCCTTGGAGTGTGAGCCTGGTGGATGTGAACTGGAGAGCACCTCAAAAAGGCCAGTATCAAAATATGATCGAGGGAATGCACTGCCATTGGCCAAAATGTCTGGTGTTCCTATGGGGAAAAGCGACAGGAAACCACAGTATCTCACAGGACCATCACATAACTGTTACCTTCTGTATGAACAGGGAATGCTCATAGCTCATTGGATGCCAAAGGGCAATCAAGAGAAGAGGAAAACAGTGGGGTGTTAGTTGTGGCTGGCTCAAGCCACTGCTTAGGGAGGCCACTAGGGGCCCTTATGAGAGAAATATGAAAACTTTAGGTTAGCAGGAAATGAAGATAATTCAGGTATTCACCCACACTCTGGTGTCCCAAGTTCAATAGGCAGAGGAAGGGGGATCCCATTACATAAGACTATCCTTGGCAGTACCACACCCTGGAAGGTCAGTCCTATAGAAGGAAGTGTGTTGATTAGTTACAGCCCCTCTACCAGGCACTATGAGCAGTTTGCTGAAAGGTGCTTTGTTCTCTACAACTAGAGACTTGGTTCTTAAAAGAAAAATAAGTTTTTCCTGTTTCTGAACAGGAGTTATTTCCCCACAAATAAACACCCCACATGTACAATAATAAGCAAGCCCTGTACAAAGCAATGAAGTCAGACAAGCAGATGTTGTATCTGTATAGAGAAGCAGATGTTGTATCTGTATGAAACAATAGATAAGTGAATAGCTACCCAGTTTGATTTCTTTTCTTGTCTGGCTCTTAGCACTAGGCTGGACTCAGAGCCAACACCTAGTGCCCTCAGCAGAAAGCCTCTCCTTTTCATATCCCCTTGTGCTCAGCTGAGTCTCCTAACTTCCCCTCCACCGTTCTCCTGGAATGTCCCTCCTCAGACCTGGATTAAGCTCTCTATTGAGCTCCCACCACTAGAAGCCAAGACCTCACACCTTTATGACCCTCACCAACTTCCGTGGCTTTCAGTGGCTATCACTATGGCAATAACTCATTCTAACTTGAAATTTATACAAGCCACTTAGTAAAAATTAAAGACAAAAAAAAAAAAGTAAAAAATGTTGTACGTAAGGTCACTTTCTTAGAAATAGCCATTGCCTTAGTCACCAGAGTCTAGTTGTGTCAGAGCAGCCATTGATTCAACCAACAGCTCTTTCATTTCAGAGATCCCAGGAAACAGCCGAGTCTGGCTTTAGATTTCTTTTTATTCTTCTCTGTAGTGACAGTCAATAGCAGCTCATTTGCAGATTTAAGTTCCCCAGGTTGACACTCTGATCCTTGACGTCCTCCCTACCAGAATAATTCATGGTCTGACAGCAAAGGCTGTAGGTTTCTTCGCTAATAAAAGCCAGGAAGGGATGGAGAGGCCCTAAATCAGATCTGGCATCTCTTGAAGAGTATCAATATGCAAGATCAGCATGGAGGGAGCAGAGGCAGGGCTGTGAGAAGGAGCAGAGCATGTGTCTGAGACACCTCTTCAAGCAAAGGTTCAAATTTGGATTGCACAGCAGTGTTAAGTGGAGTGCACTCCTCTAGATTTACACCGGTGTGAGAGCAGAATCAGGCCCAACATGAATAAACTAAAGTGCCTCTGGTATTGAGAAAATTACTTCTCCCCAAACAGATTCCTCTTCACAATGCCAGGTGCAAATGATTTCTATTACCATTCATTTCTTTAGTTCTTGGGACAGCAAAGTTGTAACAGCCTTGGTAAGAATTTCAGGGGAAATCATTTTGTCCACAGGACTCTCATGCACAAACCTTGTAAGCAACCACTGGGGAAATTACTGCCCAAATGCAACCTTCTAGACAACTGGTGCACAAGGATGCGGCAGCTGCTGGGGGAGGCCAGTGCCTATGGACAACACTGTGCCAGAACAGTAAGCAATTGCTGACCTTACAGAAGAGGGGTAAGTTTAGAGTGTCAGCTTTTTTGGGCAGGCACTGTCTTTTTGGTGTGTGTTTGCACAGCTCCTAGCACAATGGGGTCCTGGTCCAGGACTAGGTTCTCTGAACCACTCCCACAATACAAATAATTGTAATAATCACTTTGTCGCTGAGCAGATGAATTTGGTCAGGGAGCTAGAAATAATTGCACATTTAAATCAGTACTATTGGGCTGTGCACCGTTGATGACAGTAGACCTAGGCGGGAAGAAGCTCCACCTGCTCCCCAAAGTACAAACATTCTGAGGCTCTTTGACCTAGTGGTTGGAGCAGGCATTGGTGTCAGATGCCTGGATTCCATTTCTGCCACAGACTGATGCATGACCTCGGATAGGTCGCTTAAGTTCTGTGTGCTTCAGTTTCCCCCTCTGTAAAATGGGAATCACAGGACCTACATTAGCGGGAGCTGGTGAGGCTTAATTTAATTCAGACTCTCTAGATTTGCAGCTGATGTAAATGGGTGTTGCTCCATGGATTTCAGTGGAGCAACACCCATCCACACCAGCTAAAATGCTGGTCCTTAATTTGTAATATGTTTTCAGATGCTTGGATTAAAGTTGTACCAAATGGGCCCAATCCTGAGGTTCTTGCTAACTCCTTACTCTGTCCTCCACCCCCGACATTACTGTAGCTAACAGGAGACTTTTCTGAATAAGGGCTGAGTTAAAATTGAGTAAGGACCTTACGTAGGTAGTAGGCCATTTTTACTCCTTAGAATGTGAAGTTAACTGTATGCAAAAGGTACTGATTGGAGCTGTATCTTGTCTGTTTGGAGTTTTACAGTGCGGACTCTGTGCGTGGCCCATAGATGCTAGAACTAGTGGTGCTGGGGGGAAAAGGGGGTGGCAGCACCCCCTGACTTGAAGTGGTTTCCATCATATCCAGGGTTTACAGTTTAGTTCAATGGCTCTCAGCATCCCCACTATACAAATTGTTCCAGCGCCCCTGGTGTGGCCTACGTGTTTTTGTTGTTGCTGGCGCTCTAATTCCTCTCAAAGGTTAAGCATCTTTATTTGCAACACTGAATGTGAAAAGTGTCAATCAACTTGGCATGCACGAGTAAAAATTTTATGGGGACTCAGAAGTTGGCTGAGGGTGGCCAGTTATATCAGGTAACAAAAACCGGACCAAAGGCAAGGCGTCGTCTTTGACAACTCTCTCTAGCTCTGATCAGACAGAAGGTCTGTGTCTGTCAGTATTTACATTGCTCACAGAAGCTTCGCCAGAACTGTCCATTCTGCACCAAGAGTGCAATGAACATTAGTAAGTGACTGCCCCAGATTCTTCTATGGGAGAGTGACCTAAGCATGCGGGTTAACCGTCAGTAGATAAAGGTGCATGTAAATGCGGTGGTAGGTTAGGAATTTAAAAGGCCCGAGGGCTGGATTGTGATCCTGGCTATGCTCCCATGCAGAGTAATAAGTGGCATACGCCTCTGACTGCAGCCTGTATCAGAGAGTAGTAACGTTGTGGGGGACAGCATTCTCTGCAGGGTTCTCCTCCTCTTCCTTGTCTCTCTGGACTCCCCTCCTGTGAATATGTGGGGGGGATGGGCAGGCAGAGGCAGGGAGCGGGTGGAGCCTTGGCTCTCTCACATCCAATATGCTGGCTGCACAGTTCAGCTGGCAGGCTAGGTGAAGTACCTGCACCAGATATTGGGATGGCACAGACTGCTCCCTTGGAGCAATGGGGGAATCAGGGACCAGAGTGTGACTCCCAGAGCCACAGGCTGGTACCTGGGCTGCTCCTGCACTGCCTCTTGCTGGTGGCAAAGCCACCGCTGAGTCCCGGCGAAGGGAGGGGAGTTCGGGCATGAGCCTCACTTGTTAGTGAATGTCCTGAAGGAATCGTGGAATGAAAATAACAAAGGGGGGGTGGAGGAGTGCTGCGAGGAAACTGGAATGAGCCTTCGAAATTAGCTAGTCTTCTAAGTCAGGAAATGAGCTGCAGCAAAATCCGAGACCTTTAAGGCTCAGGAAGCTGTTTAAGAGACAAGAACTGCAGCACGTAGCTCTTCAGGCTTAATGATCGTGTGAGTTTTTTGACAGGATTATCGTGCACAATTTGGCTACGGCGTGAGGGGTAACGGCAGGTGAAATGTCTTCCTTAGGGCTTTATTCCCCACTGCAAATGTACAAGTGGCATCTGCACACTTTATTTCAGCAGAGCAAAGCACGATACGGCCCAAAGTCTCTGCCTTTTCCTGTTACACAAAGGAAATGGTGAACTGTGTGACCTATATGCCAAGAAGACATCAGGTAGTTCTGCGAGAACAGCTGGTTCTGGAAGAAAAATGCATCCAAATGGCAATTTTTTTATCCCTTCCCCCGATTAAAACCATCAGCAGAGTGCGAGGAAACAGAGATGCCCAAATTTTGCCCAGCTGTGGAATGCGCTAAGAGTCAAAGGGCTGCACCTAATTTGCATACAATGGGTCAGATTGCAGCTACCTTCATCTTTAATATAGAGATGTGCCCTGCTGAGACATCAGTAGCAGCGGATAGGGCTTCATCTTGATCCAAGCAGTTCCTCTCTGATCTATTGAATGGCTGGGTCTGTCTTCCTTGCAAGCTGGGCCTTTAGAAAAAGGAGGTATTTCAAAGCTGAAATCTTGGCCTTACTGAAGTCAACAACAAATTGACTTCAATGGGGTCAGGATTTTCCCTAGATCAATAGTTTTCAACCAGGGGTCTAGGGCCCCCCTGGAGGGCCGGGAGCAGGTTTCAGGTGGTCCGCCAAGCAGGGCCGGCATTCGACTCACTGGGGCCCAGGACAGAAAAATGAAGCACTATCGTGCAGGGCTGAAGCTTGGGACCCTGAGCCTTGCCACCTGGGCTGAAGCTGAATTCTGAGCAACTTAACTTTACGTGGCCCCCTGTGGCATGAGGCCCAGGGGAACTGCCCTGCTTGCTATCCCTCAACCCTGGCCCTGGCTTTTATATGCAGAAAAACAGCTGTTGTGGCACAGGTGGGCTATGGAGTTTTTATAGCATGTCGCGGGGGGTGGAGGGGGGGCTCAGAAAGAGAAAGGTTGAGAACTCCTGCACTAGATTTCCCCAAATCCCATTTGGCCTGGAATGCCCCTTTGGATACAGTCTAGGGTAATGTTGGGACATTACTCATAAAAGAGAGATGTGGTGTCTGCAGTCCTGCCCCTACAGCACATGGCACAAGAAGTTTCCCTAATCAGAAAAGATGAGTGTCCTACAGTTACCACCCCAGACACTGCGGTATCACTGTCTAAAACGGTAGTGGTTCGGTCCATTGCTGATGAATCCTGTAGCACATTTTTTATAGGGGCTGTACCTTGTAAATTGCTCGTGGACACATGGAGATATGCTGATTCTGCAGCATTTGAGGATTTGGCCCCTTGTTACATTATTCTTACAATTACAGCAGCTTCTGTGTCATTTAATATAACAGCCATCCAGTCCAGGAGCAGAAGCAATACCATACCTCTTAGTGAGAACTTGCACCCTGCAACTATATTCTTGCGATGGATACTTTGCTCAGCTTCGCTCTGGAGCCATTGATTTGTTGGTTTGGGGCTGTTTTCTCTATCAAACCTGAAACAGATGTGCCCTAAGGTTGTGCTTCTTCTCTACAGTACATTTCCTTCTCTTTTATGGCTAATGGCCACACATACCATGATGACTTATTCCTCTTAAAACCTTACTCAATAGATACTAACAGGAAAATGCACTTTGTGACTAGGTTCTTTGGACAAATTGGTTCCCATAAATTTGCTAAATGACAGCATCTCTTATAGACAATCTGGGTTCCAGTGAGCTCAGCGGGAACATGCAAGGTTTGTTAAAATTATAATGCCATAAATATGGTCTTTAATGCCTCCTGGGTGGGTCCAATGACAAGTCCATAATGGAGTCATAGATATCAACTGATCTATCAGTCCGTAAGCTTGCATTCATGAAAGATAAATGCTTTCATTATGTTTTCTGCACGCTCCACTTAGTCTAACGTGAACCAAGTGGGTTAGTATTTCTCAGCAGTTTAGATGCTCATATTTAAGGATGTTTGGTTTTATATGTGTGTATGTGCATGTGTGTGTGTGTATTTCATATGCTAGATGTTTATTTCTGCAATCTGCATGCTGCAAAAGTGACACTATATATATATCAGAGGGGTAGCCGTGTTAGTCTGAATCTGTAAAAAGCAACAGAGGGTCCTGTGGCACCTTTGAGACTAACAGAAGTACTGGGAGCATAAGCTTTCGTGGGTAAGAACCTCACTTCTTCAGATGCAAGTCTTGCATCTGAAGAA